CCCCAAAACCCCAAAACCCCAAAACCCCAAAACCCCGCAATGCCCAATAAGCTCTTCTATTAAAGTTTATAATTTAAAAAGAATATAATATAAATATCATTGGTTTTCCCCTTTTATATACATATAATAATATTATTCCCGTCAAGATTACTACTATAATTATTACTGTGGTTTGATGATTTCCTTGCTTGAGGCCATATTTTAAAGTCTTATGGTAAAGTTATTACCTCGAGGATCCTACCCCTATGTTTAGGAAGCACTCTATTGCTGAAATATCTAAGAGGCCTTGCTAGTCAAAGAGATTGCCTTGCCATTGTCCTAGTTATTATTGGACAAGGCCTTCTGATGTGCATTTTATTTTAACTATTGGTACTAATCCACGTAGATGTTAGTAGACTTCTTATAATTCTCATCAATTAGAAGTTCAAGAATATTCCTTTTTCTCGATTAAGATCTACTACCTGGTGGGTTGATTTAAGATTGAACTTGTCTTTATTTCTAAGCTCTACTTGGTGTTCTGCTACTCTTATTGTTGCTCATTATTTTGTGAATATCAGAAGCACCTCCATTTTTAAGATTAGCATTTACAACCATTGTTCCGCTTAGCTACTCCTCAGATGCATCTTTAGCCCCTTGTTTATCCCCAGCTTTCTTGGCTTTATAATCAGCAACCTAGCCTTCCAGTTACTTCTGATAGGTAGTATTATTCCAGAAATAATTGCGGTACACCTCGCTTTTCCTCAGAGTAGGCGAATCGTAGTAGTAGTCCTGTGATGACATCTCATTAATCTTGAACAGCACCTTCTGCTTGTCATGACTGCCCTGATTGTTGAGCTTGTTCTTAGATTGAGAGTGAGTCATTGAATGATGATAGGAATTCAAATAGTTATGAAAGTTTTTTCTGAGCTTATTGGTGTCCAGCTTGACTCGGCTATGATCTGTCGAAGAGTTCTTCTGATGGATTTTCTTGAAGCTTTGGTTAATAAAGGTGTCACTGCTCTGCTGCTTAGGCCTCCGAACAGAAGATGAGAAGAAATTCTCAGTTCGGTCTTAGGTCTGATTCGAGTTTGAACTCAAATCACTGATAAACACTTCCTTTTGCTTTTACTGCGCATTTTATGGTGCTGGTTTTATAGTGAATACTTAGTGAACGTTAGAGTCTAGTCTGTTGATTCAACTCATTATTCTTCTTTTATGCGGCATATTCTAGGTTATTATGGCATCCAGCTTCTTCATGCTATTGACTGAATTTTCAAAGTTAATGTTAAGTATGCTTTAATTATTCTGAACAAATTTGGTGTTAAACTAGGACTAATTTTACTATTACTGGTAATATATATTAGACATGGAGGCATTTCGCTCATACCTGATGGATTCATTCTAGGATTTCAAATGCTCAATGCTCGACTAATTGTTATTATTTGTAGTGAGGACCACATAGTTCTCATTGCCAGTTGAAACCGGATGAGAATCGTCGATGCTTAGGAGAGTAGACTGAGTCATCACGACTCTTCGACCTCTGAACTCCTCGAAGTTCTTTGGCTCATATTCATCTGGCCTATTTCTGTGGTTTCACTAATGATCTTTATGATGTTAGATCAGAATTGACATGTTTCTAAGTGGGATACTTGGATCTTTAAGAACTGGCCTTTCTTGAATTCCTTCATATTAAGCACCTTAAGGAGATAATGGGACTTGATTTACTAAATTAGTGGATTTATTACTCTTTACACTTGTATTTCCACTATTTTAAAGTTCATTTTAAAATGCAAGCTGGCAAAACTATTGCAACTTTGCTTTCAATATCTCATTTTTAATAATCGACTTCTTGTTCTAGTTCATTCTAGAAGACAGTGATTTGTTTCCTATGAATTGATAGCTCATTAAAGCCCCTGCTTAGGGATCACTATGATGACCATTATTTCCTGCACCACTAAAGGAGATTATATTATTAGGATCATTGCTATTACTGAAACTAAGCTTGTCATTGGTGCACTAAATATTCAAGTCTTCATAAGGCTTGAACTGCCTTATTCTAAGAGGAGAACTACTCTTCTTTGGATAGCTTCTATCGAAATATAACTAAGGCTAGTCAACCAAAATAAACTACTTTCTGGTTAAAGCTTTATCCTTTTTGCTTTGTTAATTTTTGGATGTATTTAGGTTCTTTTGAAAAGTTTATTCATTCACTTAGCCCCCTCATAGGCTGTTGAATTTGACTTCAATCATGGGAGCGGGAATGCTTATATCGTCATCATAAAGATTTTTGTAAAATGTATTGTTGTCATTAGTCTGGCTAAAGGAAAACTCTTAGTCTTGTTTGGGCGACTGCTGCAGATCCTCAGACAGTGCATTTTTATTATTCTAAGTTACTTAGTCTACCATTAAATCTTATGCATTTATTTTCATTAAAACTTCAATAATACTTTAAATTTTAGTTACTCTTATTATCTATGCTTTATGCTACAAATGGGGTTTTGGGGTTTTGGGGTTTTGGGGTTTTGGGG